CTCAAGCGCGACGTTAAACCCAATTTCACCTCACCTCATCAACTTCTAAATGCCTCTGAATAATCTCAATAATTATGTCATTTCAGTTTATTGTTTAATAAAAGCGAACCTGTTTCAATTCACCCCAAGTTTGGCAATGTCACTACCAAGCGGATTGCCGAACATTGTTCCTTTTCACGGGAGTTTAATGTCTACCGCAGTTTTGCGGGTTCATCCGGCAGTTTTCTGCCCGAGGGTCTGTTTAACAACTGCTCAATAAATTACACAATAAACAATCACAAATAAATAGAATACAACAAGATCTGTTTCCTATTACGCCGCACGCCCTTTAACCGAAGTCGGTCAGTGTATTATTATTCTGCGGTCAAACAAGGTATTTACAAGTGAAGAGGTACAATGCCAGTTTGTTAAAATGGTATTGTTATTGCTTCTGATATTTGTTTCTGTTTGATACTGTTATTGATTATACTTATTAAAGCAGTTTCAAACCTCATATGGAATTTGTTGTTATATTTTAAAGATCGAATACTTTGAGAACTATTTCTTCAAGGGTTGGGATACATGTGTAAAAAAATGGCTGTGTATACAAACATCGGCTGCAATCACGTCGTTCTTGAACGAATGGCATTACAACATTTTACAGGTATTAAATAAACCAGTAAACATCGTGTAAACCTGTAACCTTGAGAGCTGGAGTTCCTGAACACTATCATGACTGCAAGAACAGTTCAGCTTCATTTGTCTTGGACCCATAAAGTAACTGACAGAATATGTTATCATCAAAACAGGGTTTCCTGTTATGTGCACTGGTGTTCAAAATTGCGATGCGTACGTTATCCTATATGATTGAGAGTGCCACTGATAAACAGTTTGATGGGTCAAATTTATTGCATTTTCTATCATCTAGGGAACAGTTTAGTTCCATAGTCTGGTGCATGGCAACATTTAGGAATAGGAGGATCACTCCTTATGCCTTTCACTAGGTTAAATCTCTATCCCTGGTTCAATGAATTTATGTAGATAGGGCAGGGGTGAAATAACTTTAAAATTGATAGTGTACTCCAGTACAGTGGCACATGTAAAATCACTTTTTCCACTATACTGACCATTTTCTTGCTGATTTTTTAAATAAAAAGCATAATTAACATTGGAAAGTCAACTGGACACCGGTACAGTGTGTTATGCAAATTTGCTTGCCCGACAGAAAAAAACACTGGACTCGGACGTCGGGCAATGGGTTATTAGGGGCATAGTCAATTAAACACATTTTAGTCCACAATACTCTTATGGTTTTGGGTTCTTCATAGTTAGATGTTGTTATTATCCAGGTTAGAATTGGGCTTCAGCAACCCATGTTTGCTGTAAGTGGCAACCTACGGTATCAGGTGGTTAGGCCCACTGATTTGGTTGCCTCATTGTATCCCAATTGTGATTGTGCCTTTTAACAAGCAAACTAAGCATCAAGACCCGCGGATATGTGAAGATCATACTTTCATCCTGGCTATACAGCCCAGTCATTGTGGAAGCTTGACCACTGTTGCTGTTATTATTATTATGTTTTACAGATTAAGATGAAAATGCAGCAGAGGGGGTTCAATCAGGCTGGTAAGGTTCATTATCAGGGCCCTTGCCCCCTCTACACGCAGCCCAGACAATGAATGGGACTTCTCCCAGGAAACGCTGCCTAGTCGAACATACCAAGAACTTTCCGGGGAATATGTAGACTCCCCAACATTGCAGCGTTCTGCATTACCCAGAGTGTCAGTAGGGCTGTGCTCCCGGTGGAGAACCCGGGCACTCTCCTGATCTGCGCCAAGAGTTCAGGAGGTACCAAACCAAGGGCACCGAGAACAATGGGGAGCCTGATGACAGTGTACTTGGGATGCAAGCAAGACATTTCAAAGGCGAGGTCCGCATATTTAGCATCCTTTTCCTGAATCTTGCCAATCACGTTGCTGTCAGTAGGGACGGAAAATTCAGTGATATAGATAAATTCATTAGCTTTATCAAAAAGGACAAGATCGGGTTTCTTGACTGTATATGGGCCTATTCCAAGACGTTTAAAAGCATCATTTTCCATGACGCCCTGAACATGTTCAGGGCTGCACCATAGTTGGACCTCGGAGTCAAAGCCACAGGCATGGCAAAGACGATAGTAGAAGCAGCGAGCCATGTCATTATGTCTTTTAAGATATGATGTTTATGCCAAGGAAGGGCATCCACTGACAAGGTGTTGGACAGCCTCTGTAATTTCATTACACAGTTGGCTTTTCATGTGAATATTTTCTTTAAGAATCACATTTAGCCAATTGCAAGTGGGAAGTGACTGGTCCTGAGCAGCAAAAAGAAGCCCTCAGTTTTACATTTAAAAATCCTGTACATAAATATGTGCAAAAGTACACGATAAAATTCTATCATGAAGAGCTTCCACATTAATCAAACCCCAACCTCCAGAAATGATTGGCATATATAAACGATTCAGAGAGGAACGAGGCGGTGGTCTCTGTGAATCAGTGTTATCAGACAAGATCCTTCTGGTCAGGCGGTCAAGACTCTGGATGTCTTGTTTTGTCCAATCAACTCCTCCAAAGGAATAGGAAAGGATGGGCACAGCAAAAGGATTGGTGGCCTTGACCTTGTTTCAGGCATTTAGCTCTGAGTTCCAGATTTGCTCTGCCCTAAGTTTTTCATGACTCTGGGCATTCTGGAGCTTGCCTTGAACTTGCATTCCAAGATAGGTGTAGGCCTGATCTTCCACAAGATGCTTAATAACTCCTCCCCCCTTGTAACTTGACCGATCCATCATTAAGTACCTTGCCACATTTCAAATAAAGAGTATTACATTTGTCGAGTCCAATTGGCATGCCAATATCATTAGAAAACGACTCGACAAGGAGAACCTGTTCTTTCAAATTGGTTTCTCCTTTGGCAAGGAACTCAATGTCATCCATGTAAAGGAGATGAGTAAGTGCCCAAAGTGCTACACATCATACCGTGTGTTTGTCGTGAAAGTGGCTATTTTCAGATCTGTGTTTTTTTACCCATTAAATACTTGTTAAAGGGTAAGAGGTCTTTCAATACCCAGTGTAAATGGTAATGTGAGTAAATACTCACTGGGAATAAATATTTACCTGAGCCCTTATGTATTTCTTGGGCCACCTCCCACATAGGTGGGGCAGTGGGGTAGCCTAGTGGTTAAAGCGTTCACTCGTCACACCAGAGACCTGGGTTTGATTCCCCACATTGGTAAATGTGTGAAGCTCATTTTCCCCTGCTATGATATTGCTGAATATTGCTAAAAGCAGTGTAAAATCTTTCTCACTCTTTGGAAGACTTTATATTTAGGACTGTTACTTGAATTTCTTAGTTTACTGGTCATTCTTTACCTGTAGAGAAAATAAGTGCTTATTGGTAAAAAGGGAAAATACAAATAACATTTCTAAAAAGGAACTTTCTACATAAATGAAATAAAAGAATTTTTTTCTTCACAATGACTAGGCAAGGTGGAAAAGGAATTTATGTGATGATATTGATTATCAACATGTATGTATTTGTGTACTACAAATTAATGCATATGTAATATATCGTCACTGTCATGGCTGTCAGAGACATCTGTTACCTGAGTGCCGCAATACAATACTGGTGTATATTCTGTCCTGGATTCCCTGTACAAGGACTGTGGTTTGAGGTATTGTGAAGACTATGGCTGTTTTAGAAAACACCTCTATATAATGTTATGATTTATTGTGTGTTTACTGTGTAAATAATCAAAATAGGCAGCTGTCTTTTATGAGACTTACATTTGTAAAATGTAATTGACTCAATTTACAAATCAATACAAAATTCCATAGTGGTACAATTACAATGGCATTCTTAAATACATTAGCATTGGTGATATGTGATATCACTTTTGTCAAGCAACCATTGTTTCCATATTTCATCGTCTGTGACGTCATTATACAATAAAATGTGTCGTCAGTGAAGGGCGGTCACACTTGCTTACCATGTTCTACTGCACAAATGCACATGAATAAAATGGATAATAAAGAAATTATTACACTTGAGTGTGTCATATGACTTATGCGAAACTCATGCAAAATTATGTGTACAAAATACAAACTTTCACACTCGTTTTCCTTATTAAGTCGTATGACACACTTGTTCATGTAATAATCTCTATTAATGATAGTAATAATAACAGTGGTCAATCTTCCGCAATGGCCGGACTGGATAGCCAGGGTAAAAGTATGACTTCACACATCCACTGGTCTTTGTTTGTGTGTGTGTTTGTGGAAAGCCTGAATCAATGATTTTCCAGCTATAAAATGGTAGTCTGTAAATAACGGAGTCTGGACCAGACAATCCAGTGGTGGACATCATGACCATTGATCTGCACAATTGGGATATGAAGACATGCAATAAAAGAGTCATTGAGTCTGACCACCTGATCACTTATAGAGTGTATGTTAGGGAATGTGACAAGTTTTTCTGTTTTACTCAAGTGTATTGTTAGATATTAGACAAGGGAAGGTGGTTCACAGGTGATATTCCAAGGGTTTCCCCTTAATTTGTTTTTTATAGGGCTATAGTTTAGGGCTGAAACGGTACACTCTTACAACGGTATGGTACGTATTGTGGTACAAGACCTTCAGTTCGGTCCATTGTGGTTCAGTATGAGAACTTACTTCCGGAATAATAGCGGCCGTCAAGCAAAGAAATGCATAGATTTTAACCAAATTATTCGATTTCTAGACACTTTAGAAAAACTTAATAAAAAGTTAATAAAATGACAGTATAAAATCCGGAAATGCCAAATTTTTGGATTGCATTACGGTATACCAAACCGGAGGCAAAATCCCACAGTTTACCGTTTCACTACTATACTTTGTTCCTGTTACGTCAGGAGTAATTTTGAATTATGGATATGTATTGCTGAATGCGTATTTTAAGGCATGTGTTTTGTGACGTTTCAGTGTCTTGACATTTTTATCTTTTCACAGGGCTGATAAAATCGACTGAAGTATGGGGAAGAGTTCAAGTTCTTCCTCTGATTCATCAGACTATGAGTGGAAGCATCTTCCTAAACATCAGAAGAAGCAGATGAAGAAATGGAAGAAGAAGATGAGGAAGGTCGGACATCAGACATAATCAAGACTGTGGAATTAATGGAGACTGAATGTATTCCAAAAATGAAGTTCCTTTGTTTATGGATTATGATTCATATGAGACTGAAAATCTAGAAAATACTGATCAACTCTGCAGTTTTTAAACCAACAGATTGTGACCATTAATCAATGATAGAATGCTAAACAGTTTCTGATAATAATCTTTATAATCATCATAATACAATATACAGTGTTAGTTTGTTCTATCCACTTCTAGTTCAGCTCAGCTCAGCTCAGCTCAAACAGCATGGATTTGGAAATGTTAAATACCTGTTTTTTTAATTTTCACTGACATTAGCTGCAGACTTGGATTTGAGTATTGATCAGAAAAGATGTACATTGTACATGAATCTGATTTAACTAAGAATTTGTGTAAATGTGTGACTGCTTCTTATGATCATTGGGGCGGTTGGGTAGCCTAGTGGTTAAAGCGTTGGCTCGTCACGCCGAAGACCCGGGTTCGATTCCCCACATGGGCACAATGTGTTAAGCCCATTTCTGGTGTCCCCCGCCATGATATTGCTGGAATATTGCTAAAAGCGGCGTAAAACTAAACTCAGTCAGTTAGTCTTATGATCATGTTTCCTCCATGGATGATAGTACTGACAAAGTTGAACAACACACGATTTCTTCATAAAACGAGAGATGATCTATCATGTAATCTCTTCACGAATGGAGATCCGAGTTAGAACTGTACTTCATTAACCCATGCTTGTCATAAGAGGCGACTAATGGGATCGGGTGGTCAGGGTTGCTGACTTATCATATCCCAATTGCGTAGATCAATGCTCATGCTGTTAATCACTGGATTGTCTGGTCCAGACTCTATTATTTACAGACCGCCGCCATACAGCTGGAATATTGCTGAGCGCGACTTGTTTTGATTAGTGTATATAGATCATCACACACACACTAAGTTATTGTTTCCGTTTTGTCAGAAGAAGTGTGAAGATCACAGTTAGATTGATCTTCGTCAACCCATGCTTGTAATAAAGGGCGACAAACAGGACTGGGTGGTCAGGATCACTGATTTGACAGATACATGTCGTCGTGTCCCAATTACCTTCACAGATAATCATGATGGCTGTCATCAGATAGTCTGGTCCTGGCTTCATTATTCATAGGACCGCCTCCGTGGTGTAGTGGTTAGAGCATCCGCCCGGAGAGCGGAAGGTCGCAGGTTCGATCCCGACCGCATCATACCAAAAGACGTTAAAATATGGTACTTGTTGGTCCCTGCCTGGCGTTCGGCATTTATGGGTACAACAAGGACTGGTCGGCTTGAGTCAGTATAATGCGTCTGAGTGGGGTATTCATGCTTCACTGCGGCATGGTATCTCAGTGGGCTAGCACTATAAAACCAGCTTCAGTCTTGGCTAGTACAAGCAGCCGCACATACACATACACACGCATGCACGTCGTCATATGAGCGAAATATTCTCAAGCACGACGTTAAACCCAATTTCACCTCACCTCACCTCACCTCATTATTCATAGACTTCAGTAATATACACATGTAACTGTAATAATTCCTAGTTCAAACAAACATCATGACTGAACAACATAAATTTAAATACAACCACTGTGAAAATATGTCTAAGTATGTCCTTGTTTATTTTCCAGGGGAAGATCCCATATGGTTCTGCTCCAGTAAGTACACTGTAATTCTTATAATGGACCAGCTTTATACAATTTTCTATGATCTTAATTTCTTTGGTATTATGTTGCTTCACATTATGGTTTCTAAAATGGAATGGGTGGCCTTGTCATCTGAGGTGCTGCAGTTTGGTGTGTGGAGTTACCTCCCTTGGAGGCTTCAGAAACATATAATCGTGGGATCGAATCCCGGTTTGCCCCTTATATATGCTTAAGCTTGTCTGAACCTTAACTGAGGTCATGGTTTTAAAATACCTGTGTCAGTTTTGGTTTTCTTCTTGTATTGGATGACATGATATGTCTGGGATGTTGTTCAACTGTCATTATGACTGAAACAATTGGCGATACTTAAAACAGTTCTGATAATTGAGTTAAGTCGGATCTGGAGCTTTAGGTATCGTACGAAGGATTGCAAGGAGAGTCTGTGACTGGAAATTAATTTCAATTGCTCTGACTCCTTTATTGGTATCATGGGACATTTGGAGCAAAATCCTAGTGCATGCGGAATTTGATTTTAGGTATATCCGCACAATACCTGTGCATATGCTGTTGAAAGCACCTTCATTTTCATCTCAGCTACCCACTATGGAAACAAGTCAAGGATATCTTCTATGGACAATAATGAAATCTCACCACATTCAAAACATTAGATGTCTATAATGGATTGCCTGACCCAGACTACAGTATTTTAAAGGCTGGACATCCAGCCGCATAAGACAACATGCATTCTCTGTAGTTCACAACAAAGTTATGAGACGATGTAATGTTTTACTGTTACCTTCCAGCCATTCATCATTCCTGGATATGCGGGACCGAACTTCGCAGGTAAACACGGAAAACATGGCAAACACGGCCACGGCCACGGCCACGGCTCACATGCAGGATATCCTGCAGGAGCCTACCCCCAGCATGCAGGGTATGCACCTGCTCCGGCAGGATATGCACCCGCACCGGCAGGGTATGCAGTGCCGCCAGCAGGCTATGCGGCACCTCCGGCAGGGTATGCGGCGCCACCTGTAGGATATGCGGCGCCACCTGCAGGGTATGCCCAACCCCCTGGAGGTTACCCCGCGGGAGCTGTACCACCCCCACACGGACCCGTTTACCCTGCAGGACAGTACCCTCCTCAACCAGGCTATGGGCAAGGTAAGATGATCTCCATTGCAAAGACTATTGTTTTCTGTTGCTAATGTTCACTTTAATGGGTAAATTAGATGTTTATTTCTGTATGATATGAATTAGATTTTTAGTTTTAGCAGCTGCATATTCACTGTCATAAGTGCCCTTGGTGGTGAGACAAATGGCCACTAGATAATTTTATTAAAAACTTTGAACAGAAAATTTTATTTGTTGTAAGATAATAAGTAGGGAAAGACTGATAAGTGGAAGTATCATCAGTAGGAATCGTTATTAAAATTATTAATGATTATCAATGTGTAAATTGTGATCGATAATATCGTAAATGAACAATTGTGATGAAATCATTTTAAAATTTACTCTGTACAGCGTTTTGCTGGTATCCAAGCCCTAATATTGAGTGGTATTTAACAGAATTAGTTTAACATGAACAAAACTAAAAGGGTTTTGGCAATTACAGAAGCCTTGCATACTCCTGTGTAATTTCTAATTAAGTGTGAAATATGCAGGAGTAAATACTGTCATGTTGTATTTCAAAGGATGTACATTTATAGAGATTGTAGGGATTGGTCTATGAGTTTGTGAAGGTGCGCAGATTGGAGATTAGTGCTTAATATGGCAAATATCGAAAATTAAATTTGAGTATGTTTTTGAGGACGTGTTAAATCTATGTATTATTTTTGTTTTTGTATTTGTTTCTACAGTTCCTCAAGGGCAGTATCCCCCCGGCCAGTACCCAACAAGTAGGACTCCTACCCATATTTTCTATCAGAATAGGGGACTGGGTGGGCGTGTCCGAGAGACAGATATATATGTATTATATTCAATGCCATGTCAGATTAAAAATACAAGCCTCCTACTCTTCTGTGGCCAGGGCAATGGGGTATCCTAGAGGTTAAAGCGTTCCTTGGTAACACTAAATACCCATGTTTCATTCCTCTTATGTGTACAATGTGTGAAGCCAATTTCTGTTGTCCCTGCACGATATTGTGTGAATGTTGCCAAGAGTTCTGTAAAACCTCATGTTATCAGAGTAATATACAGCAATCAAATTAGACAACCCAATGAAATGGGCATGATCAGCATAAGATTATTTTTTATTACTTGTAGTATACAGGGCTCCAGATAAGGGCCGTATCGGCGTATGTACGGATAAAAAAATTGCATGATACCGTAGGAAATAATTTATAAAACGTAGCAGATACGCACCACGGCAATGGTGTACGGTCTTAGAATCATTTACAGACGTATTTATCTGAAAAGTATTGTTTTATTGTATATTGACCTGTCTACACAAGACTAGCAATGTTGTGGTGCATATATGAAACGAAACACAAGATTACTGATACTCCATTAAATTCCATTCAGTACACTAAATGTAGGTTTAAGGATTTCGAGTACTCCTATATTGAAAAAATCAGTGTACGTACTCCTGGTGTTCAAAAATTATCTGGAGCCCTGAGTATAAATTCTTATAATCAGCACTAATGATAACTGTATCAGCAGCAGCCTTATTGATAAATAAAGATTTGTTGTATTTTTTATCCAGCTGTAGTATCATTAGCTTTTGTTGACAAATCCGATTTTAATTTTCAGATTACCCACCACGCTAAAGACATGAACAGCTGATTCAGAGGAAATATGGGGCATTGGATTGATAATCAACTAACACCGAATTTTGGTGCTTGTGATTGAAAAGGAAGCAGATGCCTGTGTTTGGAAAAAATGGACATTTGAATCAAAAATTTAACAAATTTCTGAATTACGATATTACAGGTGAAAGGTGCCTTATCTGTATGTCCTCTTAAATTACAACAGCAATAAGATTAATGATTAGTTTAGATTAGAAAGTGTACTGTACCATAGTGATGTTTTCTAATCATAGGGTAGTGTTTTAATGGTCAAGTTTACAATATCCAATGGAACCTTGATAATTTGGACAGAATTTTTCATGAAGTTTCATACACACAAGTGAGACTTACGAATCTAAGAGATCCTTATAATTGAGGTTCCAGGTTAGAAAAGCAGTTCCTGTTTTTCAGCAGTTCTATCATTCCTTTACCATTATCCTTTACTGTTATGAATTATTATGATCTATTCACATTTAATTTCCTTCTCTCTCTCTCCCTCCCCTAGAATCATTATGATCTATTCACATTTAATTTCCTTCTCTCCCCCCTCCCCCCGAATTATTATGATCTATTCACATTTAATTTCCTTCCCCCTCCCCCCAAAATACATTTTATGCATGTAGTTTCCATTTACTGGATAGTGAAGATTTCTTATAGCATTGGGTCCATGTTGACAAAGAATACCTCCCACTAACTGAAGTATGTACTTCATGGAAAGTATTTCCTGCAAATAGTGCAATGGTATTTTAGCCTGCTGACCTCATGGACTGGTTTCCGTTTTATGGAAATTTCAGTACAATGTACCTAGATACAGGTGAAGAAATATGAAAGTGGCTTAGGTAATGTAAAGTTTAAGACCTTTTTTCTTTAAATAGCTTGCACTGAAACTGAACAGAAGGCTTTTTTCATGTAAACACAATGAATTCCATTTCTAGCAAGATTTTGTAATACTTATTTGAGAAATCAGAAATAAATCTGGCCTAGTGATTAATAACATCTTTCTGAAGTTTTTGTTCTCATGGGAAACATTTGATGTCTTGTTGATTACATTTCGACATTTTATTCTTGTTAATGTTAAAAATATGTTCCTTATCATTGTCTTATATTCTTGTTGATTCCATCTGTCTTTCAAATCGTTGGTAACATATTCATTATACATAATTCCCACCATTGTAAAACATACATTTGATAAGTTCAGCAGTTTTTGTCTCAGGATACTTGCAGGAATAGAATTCCAAAACTTTATGGTGTAACTGAATTTTATTACCTTTAAGGTCATTTATGACCCTTATTCCTACGTCGCTTTACCTCTATTCAATAACCTGTAATTGTTGAACATATATGTAACTTAATTAAAATGATTTTAGCCAAATATTTAAATATAATTCATACAGTACCAAGTATGTTAACCAAAGTTTCCTAACAATTAGTTCCTTTATCTTAGAAGAAGTACATACATATAGATTAGATAGGTAACTATCTTACTTATAACTTACTTGTATCGGTTTGTTTAGCCAGGACCCTATTTACACAATCATAGAGGAAGTGCTAGTTATATTTTGAATTTCTGCAGATTTATTTTAATGTTCATTCTCATTGTCGTAAGCTTTTCAGCAGAAAATTCTTGCAAGATTTTTTGAAAATTCATACTGTTAGAGAATTGTTGATGTATTTTTCATATTCAATACTGCCTGTGCACAAATCATTGCTGTTGATGATTTATCTTTCTGTGAAAACCTATGAATAGTATGAATAAACTTATATTCACCCTGATTTAAATGTTTTAGTTGTTCTTTTCAGTTTGATGTAATATTGATAACAACTGACACAACTATAGAGTAAATAACATTATCGGTGCTTTTTGTACTGGTAATATATTGAATTACAATTGATGATTTATTTAATGTTCGTAATTACAGGCTAATAGTTTAAAAATTGTTACGAGTCATTTCTACTGTGATTTTAGGAAACAGTTGATTCTGATTGGTCAGTCAGAGGTATTAAATCACAGTAATCACCTTTGACATCCCAGTTTAAGCTGTGTAGTTATAGAGGCAGTGGGGTAGCCTAGTGGTTACAGCGTCCAGCTTCGTCACACTGAAGACCCAGGTTCGATTCCCACATGGGAACATTGTGTGAAGACCGTTTCTGGTTTCCCCAGCCATGAATATTGCTAAAAGCGACGTAAAACCATTCTCACTCACTATATACAACGTATTACAGATTTGTTCTTCTTTCTCAGTCAGTTTTGATTTATTAAAATGATATGTATAATTGTTGGTTTCAAAAGAAGAGTTTCTCCAATATTCATTGTATATGTTCAATATATTTATAACAGAACATAACAGAATTTGTCTAATTTTCAAGTTTTGTTTAAATACGTAAACCAACTTGCTTAACAGCTGTCACCTTATATGTGTGGCACAACTTGCAATTATTTGTTCACGCTCACCTGGTCATGGTAATATGGTTTACTTTCACCAAAAGGTTTCAAATCATACAGCAATTAAACTGTATATTCCCTCATGTCAATATCCTCTTTCATTCATTAGTCATCAACATGTAATGACCACATTAGAATACTGAGTAATGATTTCACTGTTATAACCTGGTTACTTGATTTTCATTGCTGCACAGGGACTGGGAAAAGGTAAGCGATGTTTTCACTGTTTTGTGTCAGGTGTTTTCCTTGTACTGAACATGAGCAGTTAACACCCCTACTTGTGCTTTGCATGTTGTCCTTATCACAGCCTACTTCAGTTATTCCCCTTTGTGTTGCCAGGATAGAATAGGTCTCCATTGACCCAGGGTTTATTCAAAGTGATGAGGGCTGGGTGGTTACAAGGTGTGTGTTTGCTGTTGTTCACCAACAGTGTGGCAGAGGCCCAGATAAGCTGCATATCCGGGTAAAATATGCATAGAAAATTTCCAGTTACGCATTGAAATATAATTGTTGCATACCAATTATGCATAGAAAATGTTAGATACGCAAAAAGTTTAAAACAAATGCGTGCAGAATATTTTTATAAAAATAGCTTGCATTATGAAAAAGACATC